ATAGATGAAAGGAACTCCCTGTAAGCATAGGCATCCAGAAGGGCCCTCAGGGACCAGTGGAAAGAAGAGAATAGTCACTGCTCTTCAAACTCAGCAGAGCAGAGCTTCTTGAACTGACAAGGGGGTATATATCACATAGAAACCACAGGAAGTCAAACTGATCCCAAGCCAGGGATATGGGTCAGTGGGTAAAGTGTTTGCTGCATGTGGACCTGAGGTCAATCCCCAGCAGGTGTGGCCATGCATGCTTGTAATCATCGCACTCCGAAAATGAAGACAGGCAGATCCCTGGGGCTCACTGGCCCAGACAGTCTACTTCCTGTCTGATGATAGACCCTGTCCACCCCCCAAAAAAACAAACAAAAGCAAGGTGAACAGTGCCAAAGGAGTGACATCTGAGGCTGGCCTCTGACCTCCATACAGTACTGACACACACACACACACTCACGCTCTCTCTCTCTCTCTCTCTCTCTCTCTCTCTCTCTCTCTCAAAAAGAGAACAGAAGTCTAGTTTATCTCAGTAGGTCTTGGATGAGGCCTGAGATACAGTGTTTCTTTCTCTTTCTTAAAGATTTAATTTTTTATTTTATGTGTATGAATGTTTTGACTGTGTATATTTATACCACATGTGTTCAGTGCCTATGGGGGCCAGAAAAAGGGGGTGTCATATCCCTTGGAACTGGAGTTATAGATGGTTGTGAGCTACCATGAAGTTGCCAGAAACTGAATCCTATCGTCTGCAAGAGCACCAGTGCTCCTAACCACTGAGCTATCTCTCAAGCTGCAGGTGCAGTGTTTCTCTTAGTGGCCTCTGATTTGAAGACCAGACTACAAGCATTGTCCCTTCCTGTACCTGTAGTTTTTCTTTTACTCCTGAGATGGAATTCACCCATCCTTCCACCCTTTGCAGAGTGGGTTATTTATCAAGAGTACCAGCTGTAACTTTGAAACCAGGTCCTGAGCCTGGTTCTGCACTTTCCTTCATGACCTAATGTCTCAAAGTCTAGCCATCCAGTCTGTCAGATGAGAACAAAACTCACTGTATGGTATCATCATAAATATCAAATGAAGTAAAAACACAGCAAGTATATGCCTTGAAGCTAGATTATGGTACATGGCCAATGATGGTCATGATCTGGGGCCTTATTTTATGGACTCTCTTATTTATGCATTCACTCCTGATTCCCATGTGGTCACCAATAAGCTGGCTTCAGCATTTACTTACACATTACATATTGAAGTAGATATTTTCCATGGCCTTCATGATTGTAGCAATGGACACCATCAATCGACAAGAGATAGACTGACCTGTGAATAACTTGTGATCATGTCAGCAGAAGATGGAACTGGCTACACAGGTCCCAAAGACTAGCAATGGGAGCTGCATAGAGAAAGACTGTTCTATTAAAGTGTGTGTGTGTGTGTGTGTGTGTGGGTGTGTGTGTGTGTCATGTGTGTGTGTGTACATGTGTGTGCGTGTGTAAGCCAGCAAGACTGGAATGGGGTAAAATGTCAGCAGATCACAATCTGTTCATTATCTGAAGTGAACTAAATATGTAGGCAATTATTGACAGGAGCCTGAAAGGAGCAATCGGGAGAATTGGTCCCCAGCCAAATCCCATCTCCTTTCTGAGCAGGAACAGAGATTGGCTGACCAGAATTTAACATTTCAGCAGGCATTTTACAAAGAGGGGGTAGGCAAGGAGCTACAGGGTTCCCTGGCCAGATGGAGTAAGCAGTAGTCCCCCTCACCCCACCCTTCCAGCCAATCCAGCAAGGGCACTCACCAAACACAGGGGGCTTTGCTTTGAAAGGAGGCTTTATGCATAGGTCCCAGTGTGGAAAGCCCCTGCCCGACCACCCTCCCTCCCCCTAAGATGTCATCTTTTGAAATGACTTCATGTGGAAGCATCGCTAAGTAAATTCGCTAAATGCCTATTCATCCCCATCCGATGGGGAGCCGGTGAAGCGGGAAATGCGAAAATGGTCCCAGCTCCAGCCCTGAAAGATGCTTTCTGGGATTGCCAAATGGAGCCACAGCAGGCTGACCCTGGGAGGCCTAAGACTTCCCAGAGGGGGTTCCTGGAGCTTGGCCTTGGCCCCTTCAATCCTCCTGCCCAAGCTTCCCAAGAGACCCTGTTTATTATTCCTTCTGCGGGAGACCCATTCAAAGGTTAACTTGTCCTTTTATTCATCAGGACGACAATAATGAACTGTCACAGAGTGTGGCAAGGGGTTTGGTAAATAAGAGTGGCTGAGGCGAGAAGATGTAGTGGGCCTCTGGATGGCCGGTAAAGACATTGCCTGATTTTCTTTTAAAAGGACATTGCATTGCTGCTTATCCTAGCAGCTCCTTGGAGGTCCTTTTTAGCATCAGGCCACAGGAATCTTGGGAACCTTGACCACCTTGATTATCACTGTCCAGACACATGAAGGTTGGCCTTTTGGGTCTATCCCTAGGATTCACCTCTGTGTACATCACGAGAGAGCTGCATCCAGGGTACATTTGATTTTACCAGGCTTCAGATGCAGGAGGCTCTTCTGGCATCTTGCCACCCAGTATGATGGGCTTCTAATTAGTTTTTATTTCATTAAGAGGCCGGGACATTGGTCACATTTATTTTCACCTCAGTATCTCTTTAACTGTCCTGTTCCATCCTTTCCACCCATCCAGAATTATGAGTTTTTCAACATACACCATCCAATGAGTGGCTCTACTGCAGAATGGCAAAGAAATAGAGAGGAGTTGAGGGCTGAGGGTAGAATGGAACAGGCAACTGAGAGGTAGAAATTGAATGTGTACCTACTGTGTGCCTTTAAATCTACACATCCTCCTGGTGAAACTGCATGGTGAACCTGTTGTATGCTCAGTGCTTTAAATCTGAGTGTCCAGGAGGAAATGAGTTTACAGAGGGCCACTGTTCAGAGGGTCTGGTGGCTTGTTCATTCTCTAGACACGTGGTGAGCTGTGACAGTGCAGCTGGAATTTACTTCCGGATCCTTTTGTTTCTGGAACTTAGACATTGCTTTCTAAGCTATTGCCCTGCTTCTCTTTAGTCCAGCATTGGGGTTAGGGAGACGGCACAGTAGACAAAGCATGTGTTACTCAAGCATGAGGACCTAAGTTTAAAACTGTGGCACCCACAGAAAGACAGAAGCAGTGGTGAGCATCCGTAACCCAGCACTTGGATTGTGAGATGGAAGATAGTCACAGGCAACTCTCTAGGAGCTCACAGGGCAGCCAGACGAGTGTGCACAGTGACAAACTAGAGACCCTGCCTCAAACAAGGTAGAGGGTGAGTGACTAACACCCAAGGTTGTCCTCTGACCTCCATGCACAGGCCATGACACATGTGTTTGCACTAACTTTCACAGACACACAGAAGCAACACACCCCCACATGTGCGCCACACACATACACCATACACATGCAAAAGAAAGAGTCCAGCCTCACTGTGGACTGGAGCCTCTTTCTTCCTGCCTCACCCAATCAGGAAGAGTGGTAAGCCCCTGCTCTCTAAGGAACAATCCCCCAAGCAGAGCAGCCTGGTGACAGAGGAGCTGTCACATCAGCACCATTTACCTGTTTGGGTTTATTCAGTGGAAGAGGCGACTGCATCTCTGGCAGATGGAGACCTGTGTGACTGCCTTTTAAAATACTGTCACAGCTGTATGCACAAGCTGATTAGCTGTGACGGCACTGTGAACGCCGAGATTGATGGTGATAAATTTGGGATAACAATGCTGGGAACAATGTCATCCGTTTGCAAGGCGCTTCATATTTTTTAAAGCTCTCTCAATCCACAGCCCAGTGGTTATCAAGCACTCAGATTCATTCACTGCTCACTGTGCACTGAAGGAGTCGATTCTAAATTAGTTCACCTTGATTCGTGCATTCCTTCATTATCATTCATTCATTCATTCATTCACCAGACATTAGTGTAGGTCCTACTGTGTTCCAAGAACCAGCAAATCTGACTAGATTCCCTCCTTGTGGACCTTATATTCTAAGGAAACCAAGAGAGTACTTTCAAATGGTGATAAAGTAGTCAAGTCAGCATTGTGATGTGATAAAGGTGTGATGAAGGAGGCAGGAACTACTACTGTAGATGGAATGGCCAGAAAAAAAATTCCCTATTTGAAGAAAAGACATTTGAAAGACCTAAATGAGAAGAGCAGGCCATAAATGAAAAGATATAGGACAAAATGATCCAGGCCCAGCAAGTGCAAAAGCCCTTAGACTGTTCTGTATATGACATTAGGTATACTGATGACTATTGCCGGCCATGCCCAATGCTTAGCATAGAAATAAAGCATGTAAGACACTAGGCTGTCCTCAGAGTTCCTTGCACAATGGAGTAAGTGTGAGAGAGATGCACAAACAGCCTGTTCTGGTTAACTGTAATTGTCAACTTGAAAAACCCTAGAGTCACCTGGGAAGACAGTTGTAATGAAAGATTGCTTATATTGGGTTGGCCTGTGTCATATCTGGGAGCAGGCATAGTCAAAATCAAGTTAATTGACGTGGGAGGACCCAGCCCACTATGTGTGTCCCTGTTCACTGGGGGTGGGGGGGGAGGTCCTGACCTGTATAACTAACAGTGGAGAAACAAGGCGGAGCATGATGATGAGTCAAGAAAGCAAATGAGCATGCATGCATTCACTTCTGTCTGCTCCTGACTATGGGTGTGGTGTGTCCAGCTGTCTCAAGCTCTTGTTTGCAGTGATGGATGATAACCAGGGATTGTGAGCTAAAATTAACCCATTCTGGGATGTGACACCATATCAGCCAGAATGAGACTAGAACACAGCCTGTTTTCACATAATGTGGCAGGGGGGGGGACACAAGCCGCCAAGAGGATGCATTATCAGGCTGTGTGGTAGGGTCAGAACGGGAAAACAGAGTGAAATCTGCTTCCGAGGACTAAGAAGAGAGGCAAGACCCAACACCTCCATGGTCCACAGAGGACCCTGACTTTCTCTTCTGTTTGTTTCCACAGGACAAATGACCAGCTGGTGGCATTTCTCTCCCGATACCGAGATATGAATTTCCTGAAGTCGCATGGCCGGGACAATGCAAGGTGATACACTGGACACCAAAAAATTGGAAAGCTATCACTGGGGCCTTTTTTTACACATCCAGAGAAAAAGTCCCTATGTGAGAGCTCAGGGTCCCTCCTGTTAGACAAGGACAGATAGAAGCAGACACTCTCACAGGCTTATAGCTTTTCTCCCAAGAAATCTTTTGAATTTATTCCTGTATGTGTATGTTTGCATAAGTGTGCAAAGAGTGCAAATGTATATGCAGGTGTACATGGACCTGTGCATGTGTATGTATGGGGTGTACATATGTATGTAAGTGCACATGGACCTCTGTATGTGTATGAATGGGGGTGTACATATGTATTTACAGGTGCACATGGACCTGTGTATGTGTATGTATGGGGGTGCACCGTGTATGCAGGAGTACATGCATCTGTGTATGTATGAGTACATGCATCTGTGTATGTATGTGACCTGTGCACTGGTATGTATGGGGTGTACATATGTAGGTAAGTGCACATGGACCTCTGTATGTGTATGAATGGGGGTGTACATATGTATTTACAGGTGCACATGCACCTGTTTGTGTGTATGCATAGAGGCACACATGTGTATACAGGTGCATGTGCACCTGAGTTTGTGCAGATGTGAAAGCCAGAGAACAGCCCCAAATATCATTCCTCAGGTACTATCCACCATTTTGTTTTTGAGACAGGATCTCTCACATGGGTTCTGGGGATCAAACTCAGATCCCCATGCTTATGCAGCAAACACTTTATCAGCTGCACCATCTCCTCAGGCCACTTAGAACCTTTTACAGCTTTGTTTTCCCAGGGAATTTTATGAGTTCATTTGTATTGTAGCAATCCTTGGAGCTGAGTCGTCATGGTTAATCGGTCTAGTATTGTTGGTAGGTAGACTGAGAACTGCATCTAAGTGACATCCCCGAGTCATTTAATCTTTCTGCCTGTCACTCAAGAGCTACTTACCACATGCCAACCATATGCCAGGCACTGTTCTAGCAATGAACAAGAGCATCTTCAGATCACAAAGGATTTACTTAGCAGTTGAAAGACTCATGATAGCATGAAGCTAAATCCAGAGGTCTGGCTTTCCAGTCTGTGTCTTCCATACTTCCTCCCACTGCTAGTATGGATGGAGACCAGAGGGATTCAGAACCCCACCTCTCTCACTTAGAGTAAGCAGTGTCAAAAACTAGGAGATTGACTTGAGGTGATTCAGTCTGCAAAGTACTCACTTCACAAGCATGAGTTCATTTTCCAGAAACCCTGTAAAAATCCAGGAATGGCAGCATGCACCTGTAATCCCAGTGGGATGGGAAGAGACAGTCCAGCTAGCCTGGCCTATGTGATGACATTTCTGACCAACAAAAACCCCTCATTAAACAAAACGTATAAGGTATCTAAGGATCAACACCTGAAGTTGTCTTGTGATCTTCATATGCATGCCATGTATGCACACCTGCTCCTACTTACATGTGCACAAACACATTTACACATGTACATGAACACTTACCTGTAGACAAACAGCATCCGTCCTGGTAGAAGAGGCAGTCTTGAGCATCCTCTGGTTCTGTGTAGAACACAACACACTCCGGAACAGTAGCTCTTAGAACCATGTAGCCTGTTAATATTTTGTGTTTGGCCTTTTTGGTATTTCAGGTGGTCTTTTTTGTTTGTTTGGTCATTATCTCATTTGAATGTATTTTCCATGAGAATCCAGATTTCCAATTACCTGCAACAAGCCCAGGGGTCCTGAAGCTCTGTGTCTTGACTTTGCTCAGGGCTGATATCAAGTCCAATCCCATCTTCCCTAGGTCATGGCAGTTCTTCTTTGTCTCCATTCCTGATCTGGCCTTGGTTGGGATTTGAATTTGCAGTCCCTGTTCAAGATTATTTCTGCCATGGCTCACGGAGATGGCAGGTTCTGTGACTCAGTTTACCTTGTTATCTCAAGCAAGACACAAAAGCAAGCAATAAGTCCCTGCCCTGAGCTTTCAAGAACTCATCCCAGAATGCTTGAGTTGCATCATTTCTTAAGTTTTACCTTTGATTTCAGTAGCCAATTGTGCAATTATTGTTCCCTCTTGATTATATTCTGCCCCCATTGTATATCAAAGGACCTCTAAGGCTTAACCGTGCTCTGTGAATTCCTATTGGTTAGCATAGCATGTTTGGGTCACCAATGGTGGAGTGGCTGCTGTTTCCCAAGGGTTCTCATAGTAACAATTATAGTCATGGGCTTTGCGGTCCCACCTCCTAGTATGAAATGCTGGTCTATTGTATCTCAGGCTGTGTTGTGAAACTTAACCTCTCTGAGGTCATTTCTTTACCAGTAAAATGAAATAGCAACAGTCCTGGATGGGTAAGATTAAATGAGATGTTGTCTGTGAGGATGAGGAGGAGAAGGAAGAGGGAGGATATAATTGCCATGAAAAGCAAACAATGGGATGCAGCATAGGTTTCAAGATGCGTCAGTTTTTATTTCTATACAGAGCCTAACAGCCACCCTGACCCTCTATGGCTGTCTCCAGCCTTTAGTGGCTAGTTCAGACTTTCAACTCCCACTGTGAGGAGATGGCATAAAAACAAACTTGTATTTTCTTAACTGCCAAATTAGTCCTGACAGTTCTTATAATTAAATGAACAGGAGGGCTGTGTTCACTATTCCCTTTGGTTTTCATCCAAAAAATATAAGTGACCAATGGGGTGACTAATGTGTGGCACCATCATTTCCTAGAGACCAACAGCAGGGCCTGAGCCCTAAAATTTATTCTGAGTCCTAAATAATGGAAATGTCTCTGGGAGCTCCTTGTTTCTGTTCAGATGCAGTCTACCCAAGTCTTGGTGTGTGGGGACAGGGAAATAGAAAAAGGCATCTCCCTCTGATACAGTAGTTTCTCATGGGATATTTTCTGTTCTGTGTAATTTCTCCATGTTCAGATGCAGTCTACCCAAGTCTTGGTGTGTGGGGACAGGGAAATAGGAAAAGGCATCTCCCTCTGATACAGTAGTTTCTCATGGGATATTTTCTGCTCTGTGTAATTTCTCCGTCACCAAGAAAGAGCCCAGTGTTTGGAATGTGATATAATGTAAATGGTAAGGCAGCAATGCTGGTATCAACATGTCATCTCTGCTACATCCCAGCTGTGTGTCTCCAGCATGTAGCTCCAACTGGCCTTGTCCCTGTGAATAGCAGGCAAATACCAAAAACATGATGAAAAGGCTCACAAACCTTGGGAAGGCACCAAGCTGGACCCTTTGAATATGTTACCTCATTCCACCCTCTCTTAGTGGATGCTCTTCTATTGGAGAGAATTATGCAGCTGACGACTAGACAATCGATTTGTCTTACTCCACCCCCAAGGTCTTAAGGCTTGCTGCTGAAAGAGCTCCAGCAGAGAAAGTGAGCCATCCAAGCTCTGAAGCCAAAAGACCTTAGTCACCTGCCCCTTCTCAGCACTATGTGAGACCCGCTGTAAACCATATCAATTATCCGTTTAACAGTTCCTTCTCTTTAAAACTGGAATGATGAGAATAATGCCAGCCCTGTAGAATTTACTAGAGTTTACTGCATTTGCCAGCCATGATGGTGCAGGCCTGTAATACCAGCTACGTGGAAGTCTGGGGAAGAAAGATGGCAAGTTCAAGGCCAGTGTGGGAGACTTATTGAAATCTAGTAAAAGTTTTTTAAAGGAGTCATTATGAGACTGGTGAGATGGCTCTGTGAGTTAAAGTAGTTGGTCATAAAATCCTGGTGGTCTGAGTTTGATCCCCAAAACCCAGGTAAATGTGAGAGGATAGAACCAGCTCCACAGAATTGTACTCTGTTGTCAACATCATGTCACATGTGTACACTTACACCAGACACACACACACAGAGGGGAGAGAACAGAGGGGAGAAAGAGACATAGAGACAGAGTAACAAGAGTAACAGAGAGGCCGAGAGGAGGAGATAATATTAATTTGTTTTTTTAAAAATGGCTGATGGTTCTTTTGGTAAAGATACTTGTTGCCAAGCTTGATGACCTGAATTCAATCCCCAGTAACCACATGATAGGAGGAAAGAACCAACTTCTGTCAATT